CAACTTTTGAAAGTCTTTTTTAAATTTCAATCAAAAAGTAGGATAAAATTGAATTTTATATCCCAATACACATAAAAAAATCCCAAACAAAGTCCAACAGTTAAAACAACTTACATTTATTGGAGTCCTGAATCTGAAAAGCAAAGAAAAGAAATTAGATATTTTGTAAAAAAATAAACGAGGAATAAGAATAAGTCAAAAGCAGACAAGGATAATGGGAATAAGAAAAGGAAAGAAATGTTATGCCATCCGCCCATCATTAGAAATGTTAGGTTAACCTCACCGTAGCAGCTTAAAAATAACATAAATGGGACTTAAATATGCAGGGAAAAATAATGGCCTACTTCTGATCCATTTTCTGCACCAGGGGCCTCTTCCTCTGTGTCAGTCCCATTTACTTGAATTTGGCTATGTCTGGATGGAAAGGAGCCTGCAGGTGCAGCTGTCGCTGTCGTAATCATCGTCATTTCAGGTGTCGGGCGCAACTCGCCATATTTCTGGAGGTAAATCCGGCAGGGCGGACAAAGAAACCTAAGTTGTCCAACCTGAATGAGTTTATCAGAAAAAAAATAGATATGATGATCCAAAAAACACTACACGGAGAGTATCATAGAAAGGTAAAATGTCAAAAAAAAATTTAAGAGAAAATAATTGATTATATTATCAATTCAAAGAAATAATATTTTTATATTTGTGAAAGCTATTTAAAATTAGGCAATCAATAATGGACTGGATGAGATGTCGACATATAGCCCATTTACCTATTAACATCTATATTTGTCTTCGTTTGCCCCAATGTCGTTGATAATATTACATTAAATGGATATGGCAAAACGTATTTATCCTCACCATCAGTTTTAAATGGCGGCGCCAGGACGTCTTCTGTTGGACGGCAGCAAGATAGAGATGTTTATATGAAACCAGCATGTGCTGGTTTTGTTCTTAATTTTATTTCCAACAATAGTTACAAAAGTAAGATTGGAATTTTAAAAACTATGCTTATTAGTAGTGAGGCTGGCGGATGAAAATCAACTGACCAAAGAACTAAAAAGACTGAACGTTTTAGTCCTGGAGAATAATTATCCTTTGGGCTTAGTTAATAATAATATATCTTTATGAGGAATAAATTATCAGGCGAAGACTAGTTGGTCAAAGATGGTGTAGCCTTTTGTGTGGTCTTAGTCTCCTTTCGTTGTATAAAGGTTGTTTGACCTTGTTTTCGAAACTCGTTCATATTGGTAGGAGACTTAGAATAACGCACCTAGTCCGGAGTCCATTGTATGCATAACTTAAAAGTCGGACCGTGAACGTAGTACATTCCCAGACGTTTCGCCGGCATCGTCAGTCAGTATTGTCATTCTTAGCACCACACTAAAACTTTCCAAAGAGACAAGTGAAGCCAATCCTTTGACCAAACGTGTGCTAAACAGTTGTGGGTTCTCTCCTTCTGCCCTGGGCTATTCACATTTCCTATATCCTCGTATCATGGCCTTACTATTACAATTTTTACCGTGATTATATAGATGTAGTGTGGTGTGCTTCTTTGAGCGGCATTCATGAAAACCCTCCATACTCGATGCTGGCGTTCTCACGCCCTCAATACCCTTGTGCTGACGTATTGTTACGCAGTCCTCCTTTCGTAGGTCTTGTAGGTCATCCTCTTGCCCCGTAAGATCGGTCTGCTATCTCCCTGGTTTACGTATTTCACTCGACCCCTGCTACTCCATCTGTGCTACTCGAGGCGTTATCACCCCTCCTCCGCGTCTGAGTCATTAATTCGAGGCTAAAGCCTGCCTGCTTGGAATTAGGGCCAATGCTGAACCACAACGTTTGTGGGTTGGCACGGCAAAACGTCTGGGAATGTACCACGTCCACTGTACAACTTTGGACATTATCATGCATACAATGGACTCCGGACTACGTGCGTTCCTCTACCAATAAGATCGAGTTGCAAAAAAAAGGTTAAACAACTTCGATAATTATTTATGCTTGATTGAAAGATTGAAAGAGAGAGGGCTTTGAGCCGCCATCCAAAAGAATACGACTTAATTTATCAGCTGTGTGATGGTTCGAACCAAATTAACAGTCGTTCAAAAGACATTTCACGCTCATCGGCCAAAACAGACTTGCGGGGCTACACAATCCCAACCAAGTTTCTCCTTGGGTCGTTAAACCTTAATAACATAGACTAACGGGTTCGGACTGGTGGTTTCGTAACCTGAATTTCACATGTACAAACTTACATTTCAGCAATGTAACCAGGGTTATTTGCGGACTAACACAGTATCGAATATCCTTTTTTCTTTGGATCATTAAGCCAATCGACAGCTGGTCAAGAGGAATCCACCGTCTTCTTCTGGTGGAATCAACCTTCGAACCTCTTCACCAAGCACTTTCACTCGAAATGGAAGTAGGCACAACATTCTCAGACGCTTCGTAAGCATCGTAGTCGGCACCATCAGTGAGTCTTGTCATTCTCCGCGCCAAGCTACCAATGCGTCAGAGACAAGTAAAATCAATCGCTCGATCAACATTTTGCCGAAAATGGTTAAGCTATCACCCCTTTTTTTGCCTTGGCCCATCGAATTAACTCTTTACCCACTTATCCAACTCCCACCCTATCACAAATTCTGACTTGTTTACATTCCACTCGTCAAAATGTGTCTTTTTTTGGCAAATTTATTGTGGCTTTATCATACCTGCTATTCCCCTGATCCCCTCCCTTTCGATCGGCTAATCCGACTCGGGTCTCTGATCCGGATGTCCGTCATGATCACGTAGATCCGTTCCTTATCTTTCTGGTTGACCGATTTCACTCGGCTACATTCCCAGTGTGCATTTGAATCCAGGTGTTATATCTCAAGGCGCTGTAAGCAGGTACACTGCCACCTCACCTAGGTTCTGATCTCAATGCTTGTAGATAATAAGCATGACCTTGACCAGTCGTCTCCTTGATTAAAGCCGTGTTTTTCGTAAATAGAGCTTTGAGACTACCATTAAATCAGTAATATGAGATGTATTCACCTTATTTCATTTAAGGTGATGAAGGATTGGTAGTAGAATTTTCTACAATAATATGAGTAGAGCTGACGTTTCCATTGAATTTCACATAACCTTGCTTTCCTTAAAAGTTGTTCTTATGCAGGGCTGACTGCAGTTTCGACCTCACATAGGTCTTATCAGCAACCCCAGCGGGATTCGAACCGTGACAGTGCAGAATGTAAGCTAAATCCATGTTACCTGAACAAACTGTGGACAACTATTCCTGGTCGCCTGATACATCTCAAGTGGATTTCTAGCACACTGCGACTATACCGGGCCCCCACCATCTTGGTCTTCATATCTTCGATTACTCAACATCTTGCAAATAAGTGAAATTACTTCCAGAACCGGATGTGCGTTCGGTGGCAGCTGTTTCCTTACACAATAAAACTAGTGTACAATCCTCTAATGTTTAGGCTTGTGCTATTGTCTATTGTGTGTATGTAATGCTCATGTCATAGTCTTATCTAGACTTGAGTGTCCTGTGATGGCCAAGTGTTCAGCGGGCTCAGATATGTGGACCCATAGACCTTTACAAGCGATGTTGTGATTGCATAGTCTCTTATGAATGGGTAGGCAGGTCTTCCCATATAGACCTTACCACATGAAAACAAAACATTGTAGCAGCCTGATCTAGAAATAAGGTCCGAAAATTCTCCTAATTTCACTTTATACAGTGTTTCCGTTAACTACTTCCTTAGTAGCTCACTCAACTTTTTCGCAAGTTGACTCAAGGGCAAAATCAGGAACCGAGTAGAATTACCCAGTTACATATCCCGCCACTGATAGCAAACTCCCATCATCTTGTTGCTAACACTTAATATCGAATTGTCTACTACTCCTGATGGGTAATTAGTTTGAAGCCGTATATGCCTCAATTTACCGATCTCCTATTCCCTATGATTTACCTCTGCTAAACAAAGATTCCTATTTAGCACAGACTTCATAATATATATGATTGGAGCGGAAATTAATAAAGAAACCCACATGCGTGGGTTTCCTATATACATCTATAACTAACTTATTACCTTATTTGTTTACAAATGCATCCAAAAATTCGATTTATTTTCCTTTTATAACTCCATTGCAAGCTTAGTATTTGCATCTATTCTATTATTAGTTCAAGGAATTCCTCCAAACTATCTTTGCCATAGATATGAAAACCAAGATGTTGTGGCCTCTGATAGGCTTGGTGTGGAAAATAGCAAAACTCACTGATGATGCCAACTGCGATGCGTGCGAAACGTTTGAGAATGTTTATGAATTTTTGACAGACCATACGCGTCTAGAGGTCTAGCATCGCTAGGGATGTGCGTTTATTTTGCACTTTTCCAGCTCTCCATTGTTTGCACATTGTTGCAAAATAACGCTAAGTCCTTAAGGCCTTCTGTCGGATATCTAATTATAGTTTTATATTTTGTATCATCGTCGAATGCCTCACATTTTCTCTACATAGTCAGTCCTATACATCATTACTATTGTTCCTTCCTTGTTCGCCCTTAATACGAATTGGTCATTCGTCTTAAGCTTCCTTATAATAATATTAACTGTCTTACTATATGGTGTTTGTACATGGCCATCAATTAAAGGGGCAACTTGTAATTCAATGTTCCTCCTAATATCCTCTGACAAACTATCTGTTAAACCTATGAATCCTACCCAAATTTCATCTTTGAAGTTCTCAGGATTTGGAAAGGCAATGTTTAAGCCATTTGCTAGGACCTCCTTTATAGAAATGTCCAATTAAGTTTTGGACAGCTTTACCATTTTTGGCAACGACTTTCCTTAGACTTCAATTCATTAGATATGGGTCATTTCCTTGGGGTAATTCTTAAACCCAAATTTCTTAATTTCTTATTGTGTCTACCTAACCTGTCGAAAATTCTTGTCACGTAAACTATCCGCAATACTGTGGAGTTTCATGAAGTCTTTCTAACTAAGAGTATCTGACAAGATTTACGTAAGTTTACTCTTAGTTCTAATTAAGTAACGTAGCTTTGAAATGTTTTCCTTAAATCTAATATCAACAAATCGAGCAAAGGTGTATTAAACCAAGAAAAAAGGTGACCGGCTGCAATCTTAGCAGATTTTTTTATACGCTTAACTTCGTGATCTTAATGGAGCATTCCATGATTTGGTTGATATTCAAAATTTACTCTACATACTTACAAATGAGTGAAGCTACTTCCCGAACCGGATGTGCGTTCTGATGATGTATGTCACAGTACAGATAAAAACTTAGCAGTTTCATCGAGGTCGCAGGACGGTAAGCCAAGAACTTTTTTGCACAATTTAAGTCTTCCACATGCAGCAATATTCCTTCGGTTTTCGGTAAGACCACTTAACGAATTCCTTCCAAATAAATTTCCCATCTAAGTGGAAAGTCATACCAAAATATTTCATTAAGCAATTCCTGAAAACCCAATTTTTCTTCATATCTTCAAAACAGCATATAAATTGTCAAAATTTATTTGCCTTAATTTATATAAAGTGAACGACAGTAAAGAACTCACAAGAATTATGCCGAAGAATCAAGGGCGCCAGTTTGGAGGGAAACAACTTTGAATGAGTTGACTAACATCACAGGAAAAAAAACATTCACGGCACTACTGGAGATCTTGGAAAAAGAGGACACTCTGAGGACGAAGCGAATCCATAGTCTCCAACCCGATTAATCAACATAACTACCTATTTCACTGCCTATAGGATCACCACTTCCAGCTCTGTTGGTTAATGTCTACATGAACAAGTTGAAGGAGAATTTCAAAATGTCACCTCAGAAATCAACAGTAATTATACCATATTTGGTC